ATTAATCATACTGGTAGCTAACAGTCAATTGCAAAATCTAAAAAACTTTTATTTATTCAACTATTTTTGTGAAATTTCTCCACTAGTTTATTATAATTATTAATACAAAGATCGAACACTGAGAAAAAAATCCTTCGATCGGGCCGGATATCAACCGACATTTTCTTGCATACCGTGCCAGACGTTATACCAACTAAACCACGGAGTGAACCAGCGGACCTCGCGAATTTTTCTATGTGCTTGTTGTCGTGTCTTTGTATTTGGTTTTTCAACGACTTTTTAGTCGTAGCGCCATCTATGAGAAATCTATGAGTTTTATCACCCAGTTAGAAACCTTTACAGCTACCGGTCCTGGCGAGAGATGTCGCTATACACTGTATTTTAAATTTTTATTGAATTGATATTCACCTATTTTTTGTGAAATTACTCCACTAGTTTATTATAATTATTAATACAAAGATCGAACACTCAGAAAAAATTCCTTGAATCGGGCCGGATTCGAACCGACGTCTTCTAACATACCGTGTCGGACGCTATACCAACTAAGCCACGGAAAATAACTAACTAAAATAAAATAACTTTATCAAGCAAAGCCATCCGGAAGATGTGTCTATACGTGATATAAAGAATTCATTAATGCTCGAAATAAATTTTACTTTTAGGCTAGAATTTAATGTTTAAAATATTGTTGACTTCTTAATTTCACTACCTGTGATTCAATCAATCAATCAATCAGCCTATTGCAGTCCACTGCTGGACATAAGCCTCCCCAAGTGTACGCTATAGTGCCCGATCACCCGTTTTCCGCATCCAACCACTACCCGCGACCTTCTTCAGATCGTCGGTCCATCTTGCAGAGGGACGTCCTACGTTACGTTTGCCGAGACGTGGTCTCTACTCGAGAACCCGTCTACTCCATTGCTCATCGGTTCTGCGACAGATGTCGCCAGCACACTGCTACTTCAGCTTGCTACATTTCTGGATGATGTCCACAACTTTAGTCTTATGCCGACAACAACTTCGTTCCGGACTTTGTCCGTTAACGAGATACCCAGCATAGACTTTTCCATAGCTCGCTAAGCGACGTGCAGCGTCTGTGAGCCAGTTACACCGTCATATTCCACGTCTCGGCTCCGTAAGTCATGACCGGTAGGATGCATTGTTTGTAAACCCTGGTCTTCAGGCACTGTGGGAGTGGTGACGAGAAGACATGACGCAGTTTCCCAAATGCTGCCCAACTCAGCTGTACTCTCCTGGCTATCCCAGGTTTCCTCTCCTGGCTATCCCAGGTTTCGATGGAGTCGAAGGCTTTGTCGTAGTCCACAAATGCTAGACACAGTCGCAGATTATACTCTTCGGACTTCTGTATAATCTGCCGAACAGTGTGTATGTGGTCCACGATGCTATAGCTTTTTAGAAACCTTGCCTGTTCCGGCGGCTGGAAAGCGTCAAATGTTCCGTCGAGACTATTTGTGAGGACTCTCGAAAACAGCTTATAGACGTGGCTCAGGAGCGCGACAGGTCTGTAGTTCTTCAAGAGGGTTTTGTCTCCTTTCTTGAAAAACAAAGCTACCACGCTTCTGCTCCTCGCCTCCGGGGTAGTTCTCTGGGTCTCCTCCTGCCCTGATAAGCTCAGAAGTTATTCGGTATTTGCCGGGAGCCTTCCCATTATTAAGCTGTTTAAGAGCTCTCCCAATTTCGTCTTCGTCCACTTCTGGCAGATCGTGTGTGAAGTGGCGTGAAAGTGAGAATTTCTGGAACTGATGTGACAGCTTTACCGTCCGAGATATTTAGCTTCGTCAGTTGACATCTACCGTCTTTTTGTAAAGATTTTCGACCCCCGATTCCTCTCAATAGCTTCTCGTATGAGTTGCGTATTGAAGCTACGGAGGTCGCGTCTCACCGACTTGTGGATAGTTTTGTTGAGTCGACGGGCATCTGATGAAGCTGCCACAGCATCTCGCGTCGTGTCCTCATCATTTACATCCATCCATCCATCCCAGATCATCATCCGTCCATCAATTCCAGAGTCTCAGTCGAGAGTTTGGACTTTCGGGCTCCTCGCTGTGTTCTGAAGTGCCTAATTCCCTCTTCGCGAATTAACCCTACTACACCTTCAAGGTCCTTGTCAACATTTGCCGTGGTTTCCAGCAAAGCGAAGCGATTGCTCAGTTCCAACTGGAACGCTTCGGAGCCATGCATGATTTGGAGCAGCGTTGGACGAATAAGAGATCTCATCATACGGCTTCTCTCGACCTTGAAGTCGATATTTAGGGTACCTCTTACGAATCTGTGGTCGCTACCCATATTGAACCTTTTGACCACCGAGATATCCATAAATATACGCTTCTCGTCCGTCAAGATGAAGTCGAACTCGTTTTTCGTCATACCATTGGGGCTTTGCTAGGTCCACTTCCTATGAGGCTTCTTCTTAAAGAAAGTGTTCATGCAGAACAGCCCTTGCACGTCCAGGAAGTTTACCAGCATTTGCTCCCTTTGGTTTCGCTGTCCAATGCCGTGTTGTCCAATGCACGATTCCTCATATTCGCGCACTCCCACTATGGCATTGAAGTCCCCCAAAACAACGGTGAAGTGAGTCTTGGTGGTGTTGTGTAGAGCTTTTCCCACGTCTTCGTACACGGCTTCGACCTCACTGTCCGAATATGTCGACGTCGGCGCATATACCTGTACAACCTTGAGAGAATATCTCACTGTTAGCTTCAGGACAAGTACGCTACCCGGGTCGATACATTGGATACCTCCAGCACGTTATCACGGAGAACTTTGTTGACAAGGAACCTTAAAACAGGGTACTTAGGAATTGGCCTGTAGATGGATATACCGCCATCGGTTTCGGTCGCCAGAGCCTCGTTCGTTTGTCGGCAGGGTGCACCACGTGCAGGTGAGGATGACTTTTGGGGCTTTAATTTGGTGTTTTGCCCCCACACACCCCACCCGTGATTGTAAATTTATTAATATGTAACAAGTATTCTAAAATATTAGACAAGAACAACATCACGTATGTTGCTTTGATTCCAAAGTAAGTAGTTAAAGCATTTGTGTCATGGAAAGTCGGAAACAACGACGGTACCTACCACAAACACTCAGACCCGAGACAATATAGAAAAGCTAGTTTTTCTATACAAACCCGGCCGGGAATTGAACCCAGGACCTGAGGGATGGCGACACCATGAAAACCGGTGTGCAAGCCATTCAACCACGGAGGTTGTCAGAATTGACATATTTTATATATTATATGTTGTATGTGTTATTGTAAAGTAGGGGACAAATAAAGTTCAATTTGTTATTTCAAAAGGAAAGGTAATAGGTAAGTTTTTATTGTTAACGTTATACCGAAGTGATTTATGATACTTTTAGTCGAAATCAATTTGTAAATATTGAAAAATTTATTTGATTCTCACATCACCAGGGTTAAACGAGAATGTTCGGCATTTGGAATCTCGCTCCGTGCCATTAATCGTTTTGATGTCACAGTATGGGACATTTAGTGTGACCCTTTTTATGCGCCAACCTTTTCGATTTACGTCCCTAATCGCCGAATACCAAAAGCCGAATCGAGGGTAGATATCGGTCGGCCGCATTTAAATGGCAGATACTAATAGCTTAAAGTGTTCATTGCGGGGGGTTGTACAAATAATGTACAGATATTAGGCCCCAAAAACGTACACCCATAATTTACAACGGTTGTAGTTAGGTATTTGAAAAAATAACGACGAGAAGGGTATGTTTTACTTTCCATAGATAAGTCGAAAGAGATAATGTGTCATAAAATAATTAACACTGCAAATGTTAATAATTAATCACGTAAAATTATATGCACGAATTTAAAATCTGTTTGTTTAAAAAAATACAATTATATATTTTCATCCTATGCGTTAGGATATAACATGATATTTTCATGTACGAAGTTGCTCCCCTTAATGAAATGTGAAATAATAGAGTATAACACTACTGAAGCGAAATAACTATGAAGCTTCATGGCTTTTCTGCCGGGCAGTGTAAGCAACATGCTGCACTTTTAACGACCAGTAACTTCATATTACGTGAAAAAAAAATCGCTTCATAATAGTGCTCAACAATTTTATGCTTAAGGAATTTTTCATTATTATAATGAAAATAGTTAATATTCGTATTGGATAATGATTTCCTTATTGAAGGCTTGTTTTTATCACAGTTAGCTTCAACTCAGCGCCGCCTTCCTCGCTCAACAAACTGTGGACTTAAATGTAGGTCATTTCTTTGTCTGGCAAATTTTGAATAGCTAGTTTCTCAATGAAAACACATTTTACATATATAACAGTCTTACAAACTGTTTCAAATAATGCAGAATATTGGACATGACTCGTCGAGCTAAATGCGCTAATGGACATGAACAAAACTATGTACTTTCAATGCCGAAGAGCATGAAACAGTTGACAGCTGATATATTACACAAGCAAAATATGTAATTAACTAAAGCAGTCAGATTTAACTGCTTTGCAGCAATGTCAGCGTTTCCACGCAGCGGTGTTTGTGCAAGCCTGACCCAATTTTAACCAATTTGAAAGGCCAATTCCAACGGTATATATGTCTTCTGTTTTTATTTGATTGCGGTCGGCAAAATGAATCCGATTTAAACATTTGCTTTACTGTTTCTATGGGCTATTTTCGTTAAACCATATTATGTTAATTTGCAAAAAGTATAAATGACTCGATTTTTCTGAAGTGTTGTATGCACTTTTAGTTTAACAGCTTTGCTGCTAGCCTAAGTAGAAAACTTTTGTCAGTTTATAATTTTTTTTACATTTTGTGCAACGACTTTAGTTGATTAAAATGGGGCGATTGTTCGATTTCAGCGTAAAAGTAATATTAATTTATAGTTTTCTTTAATTCGTCCCTTTTTTAAGTCTTGAAACAAATGTGATTTGTGTGTATTTAATGGCATTCAAAAACTATTATATAGAAATAAATGAGACAGTAAATGAGTTTGCGATTTGCAGGTCAACTGCAAGGGTCAGGGTACAGCGAGCCGGAACCGGAGTTTCTATCGCCGCTAGAGAACCTCACCGTCGCACAAGGGCGGGATATACATTTCACATGCACTGTCAACCACCTCGGCTCCTTTAAGGTAATTTATTCAATAGCTTTATAGTTTTGTCTATCGTAGGTATGTATACATGGACACACAACAACAACATTGACCCATTTATACGTCCTGCTCCGTAATGAGGCAAAAGCAAATTGTGTGAAATTTACATTACTCAATATTAGACAGACGGACACAAACATTACAGTTAGAAACGAAAAATTTTACCTTGTAGATACAGTTGTATTTCTAGGTACAACTTTAGATGCTAAACGCAATAGGGTTCACATATAAATAAGTTATCAAAACGGCTGTCTGTAGTGTACGCGATAAAAAAATACGAAATCTTTTAGACGTCGAAATAGCTTGATTGGTGTACTTTAGCTACTGTCACATGACATAAGGCATTTTGAGGTAATGCTGCCGATATTAATAGAATCTTTGCCTTCCAGAAACGTGCGGTTAGGGCAATTTACAATCTGGGCCCCAGAGTGTCTTTGAGAGATAAGTATAGAGGGATTAATATTCTTACACTAACGTTACAGTACATTCATGAAAATGTTATTTATTTTAAGAAAAATTTTTTTTTTTATGAAAAATAGTGACAGACATACAAAGATACGAGGAATAAAAATAAATTAGCTGTTCTTGACAGTCGACTTCATAAGGTCTCAAATACGTTTAAGGAAAAATATATACGCTTCTATAATAAGATTCCGATTTATATTCAAAATTTGCCATTTACGAGGGTTATACGGCTTCTGCGTACTTGGACGACAAAAATCCATGGCAGTGACCCATTAAGCTCTAGCAGGAAGTCTCGATCTAAGATGTTTAAATTAAATATTGTAATGTTAAATGTGTTCAAACGTATATTTACGAAGAGCAATCCCAACAATTTCTTGCTCATTCTTCTCAAGGGAATCTGCCTTACGAAAGAACAGTAGAGTTTAATCAGTATGACAATTTTAAGTGTAATTTGCTTATCTGTGAAATAAAGATTATTATTTGACTTTGACTTTGACTCATTGCTAGGTACGGCAGTTTAGGCCATATAGTCTGCCACGGGTTGGGGACTTCACACGTTTTTCGAGGGTTTTGAACCTTTTTCGACGTGTAGGTTTCATCACATTACTTTCCTTCACCGAATAGTTCGTGGTACATTTCAAATTATATTTCGCACATAAATTCAGAAAACTCAGAAGTGCGAATCCGGATTCGAACCTTCATTCAACCTCTGCCTGGGAGGCGGTAAGTCAAACCATTAGACTACCACGCTGTCGTCGTAATGGAAAGTGCAGTAACTAGCATTTTTGATGGAAATTGAGTTAAACACAATCGTTAACACCAAAACAAGATCTATATTTGGCGCTAACCACGTATCAAAATTCCCATGTAATACAGCAAAAAAAACTGCAGTAACTTAGTGCAATGTATAACATTTGCTAATTTAAAGTGTAGTAAGATTAATTACAATATAATTTTTGAGTCAAATGTTATAGAATTCTAGCAATCTAATAGTTGCTGCTCTTATTTTATTTATGTTTTACAAAATCTACCATCTCAACCAAAACAAGATCTATATTTGACTCTAACCACGTATCAAAATTCCCATGTAATACAGGAAGTGAAACTGCAGTAACTTAGTACATTGTACAACATTTGCTAATTTAAAGTGCAGTAAGATTAATTACTATATAATTTTTGAGTCAAATGCTACAGAATTCTAGCAATCTAATAGTTGCTGCACTTACTTTATTTATGTTTTACAAAATCTACCATCTCAGAGCCAATTATAAATGCAGTATCTAATATTTACTGCACTAATTTTATTTATGTTTTACAAAATCTATCATCTTAGAGCTAATTTAACTGCCTCCATGGTCGAACGGTTACCATGCCGGACTACCACGCAGAGGTCCCAGGTTCGATTCCCAAGCCTGGAAAAATACTTATATGGCCTACATTTATTTCTCTCGTGAGTTTGGGTGTAATTTGTGGTTGTCTATGTGTGTGCGCTATGTTGTGTGTGTGCGTTATTATTACTAAATAAAATATAAGTGCAGTATCTATTAGATACTGCAGTTATTATAAAGAAATCAATAACATTTTGTAGTTGCAATTCTAATAAAACTGTAATAACTCCTAAAGACACTACAGATAATTGGTGAGAAGACGTCTCAAAGCTAGTGGCAATCACACATCGCACAAAGGAGTATTTCTGAGCAAAAATCGATCAAAAGTCGATTTCAAAAATTTAAGTCATCTCCAAAACGTGTATCGTTAAAGCTTAATAACCGTTACATCGCTAAAGGGGAATTTGCAAGTGCTCTTAATCTTTCAACACTATTCTGTGTTTATGTGTGGTGAAAGTTTTGTAATACCTATAATGAATATTGAAGAGGAAGGTACGTACTTTAATTTTAAAATATATTTTCCGCATTGCACTTGATAAAGTGATATTTCGTACCATATACATTTTCCACAATAAAAAATAAAGTTTTTTTGTAAACGCTACATTCACATATGGTTGTGTACGAGTATATCAGTTAAGCCCAACGACGCTCTTCCGATCTCTCGTTGAGGGGGGGGAAATCTTTATGGATACCCCTGAGCCCAGGGAGACTCAGGGGTTATGTGGGGACTCTCCCTCCAGACTGGAGGGCCTACCCCACTAAAACCCCCCCGGGTTTCCCTCTCGCCGGTTGAGTCGGCGCCGTGGGATCGGTGAACATTCACCACGACGCCGCCCGGCCGCCCTAGCTTGCGCCAGGGCTCCCGCGCCAACGGAGGGGCGAGTCGGTTGTCCTCCGACCCGCCCCCCAGACGAGTGAGGCCGTGCAATGCAGGCTCCGGAGTCCCTGTCCAGAGCCCGCTGGTCTCACTAGGGGATCAGGCGAGCAGCGAACTGCCTTCGCCTTCTCCCCGTACGTCTGCGCCGGAGCGGGTGCGCGTCCGCCGCGTCCTCGCGCACCCGCTCCGCGGCCTCCTTTTGCGACATAACCTCTGCGCAAAAGGAGGCCACCGCCTCCCAGGACTCCTCGCTTTCGAGCATGGCGGCAACCACGCTCGGCAGCGAGAGGTCCTGCCCTACAGTCCCCGTCAGAGTGCGGCGCTGCTCATCCCACCGGCTACACACCTCTAGGGTGTGCTGCGCGGTGTCATCCGCAGCGCCGCACTCGTGGCACGACGGGGACGGTTCCCTCCTCGCCACCTTGTGCAGGTAGTGACCGAAGCAGCCGTGCCCGGTCAGCACCTGCACAAGGTGGAACGACAGTGGCCCGTGGGACCGGATATCAGTTAAGCCTAAGTAGGCTTATGATTTTGTGTGTAACTTAAAACTTAGTTATTCTTGATGTTTTTAAATAAAAAAGTCGGACGTGTACATTTGTTAAATTCTGATCCTTTTTTGAGCAGTACGAGTCAAATGCCACAGAAAAAAGTAATTTTTTTTCCAGTGAGACATAGGAAATTCTGCTGTTAGATGCATATGACGCATCATCAACTTAGGTGTAATGAAGATGACGATGGGTCTTGTGACGACGAATCCGATTAATATTATATTTTTGCAATTAATTTTCAATGCAATGAAAAATATGTGTTTCAAATACAATATTATGACTTTAAACTGCTTTTTATTACATGTCAAATCGATAAAAATCACAAAATAATTTTGAGCATCTTTTGAGGTGAAAAATACTAAATCCTAAAAATACTCCTCTGTGAGTCGTCCGCTTACTGTGCGTAATGCGTAATATTTATAAATACTTGTCAAAAAGTGTTATTTTTGACATATAAAGTTGATCTCAAGTAAAATAATTAATCAGAGAAGACTGAATGTTATAGCAGTTGTCATAGCATTAATAATAATATAGTTCTTTAATAAAGAAACGTGATCTCAAATTATAGTTCCTCAACTAAGTAATTGTAATAAGGAGACTGAACTGACTGTTTGATGAATAAAGTCCTAATTAATTTAATTTTAATTTTTAATTTAACTTTAACTATTTGCAATATAAGGCAAGGTTTGATTTTTTCCTATTGTTTATTGTGAATCGAAATGTGATTAAGATTTCATAAATAATGCACTTGGGATTTGAACAAATCAATAACACAGGCGTCTTCTTTGTTTTATTGTAATTTTATAAACGTACGATATTAATATATCCATACAAAATACCATATTTTCTCATGTCTTTGTATTCCCAATCCAATTAGCACTTTGTCCGACTTGGGAAATAGAAATAATTTATTCCTTGTGTAAACAGTCGTGTATACAATAAACAGTGGGAATCGAACTCTTACCGTAAACTATCATGTACACTTGTAATGCCAGTGGCATTACTCAGTCGTTGCTAACAGTACAGAAGGGAAGGAAGTGAGAAAAGAGGAAAGTAAAAAGGGAAGGGAGGGAATTATGCCGCCGACACTCTCAAAAACCTCAAGAAATGCAGCATGCTGCCACTACGTCGATGTTTAGTAAGAAAATACTAACAAATTGTTAGTTTCGACTGTATAAAACATTATAAAATAGCATCAATATGAGGTGTATTTTTAGCAAAAACTGTAGTAACTTAATAGATACTGCAGTTATTTATTATATATATCATTATTAATTTGTTTTTAAATATGTATTTTCTAGATTATGAGCAGTACGA